AAAGATTTCGTGTACTGTTTGCGGTCTCTTGATATACATGTAGCTATACATTCTACTCATTTGGCTGCATGGCCAGTTCTAGTCAGTGCAATTCGCGCAGAAATAAGGCTTGTTGAATTATAACTATGATAATACAGACCTAAAAATATATAGCTACCGTATGTAACTGCAACCGCAATATCACATACAATGATTCATGCATAATAGGATGTGTTATTATATTATAAAGAATTAGGTTCAACTGATTAAGCAAAGATGACTGCATCTTCTTAACCTGTCAGCAAAAGATGACTGCATCTTTCTGAACACGAGAGTCTCCACTAAATTGGTCTTTATAATATAAACACAAATTTGCGCTAGCTTTAGCGTTTGCATGCACAGTGAGTTTAAAAACAAAAATATTTCGTGTACTGTTTGCGATCTGTTGATTACATTCTATTTCACTGTTTGGCTGGCCAGTTCTAGTCAGTAAATTCGCGCAGAAATAAGGTTTGTTTAATTATAACTATGATAATACAGACCTGCTGTATAAAGCGCTGTGTATGTAACCCCAATATCATATACAATGATTCATGCATAAAATGCGATGTGATTTCATTGTAAAAATTTAGGACAACAGCAGCCGACTTTGCTCTGATAGGACTGATTCGAATGCCTTATTTGCCCCAAGCGTCCAGAACATAACTCTGTCGTGCCAGTGATAACATCTTTAGTCACCCCGGCAAAGAAACGGCGATGCGATACTTGGCGACCATCGTCGTCTCGCAAGTTTTCAAGTTTGACCCGTTTAATCTCTGATGGAAAACACTTGAATGTTTTACTAACAAGCAACTTATTGTATCAATTTGTATGTATACCAATTTTTCTTATCATCTACGTTGTGCGCAAACACTCGCTTGAACGTCGTCGATGCGCCTCGAATGCTGTCTTGGCGTGTATTATATTCGAATTTGGCGCGCGATTTTTGGTTTTATATGACGACCACAATTTGCAATGTGTAATATGAAGTCGAGATATTAAATTAACTAATTCAGTACTAGTTAATATTAAATGAAGTTTGGTTTCAAAGATACTATTACAAATAAGTAGGAAGGTTGGATAATTAATATATGTCATCAGTTCATCAACTTTGACACAAAACTATGGTTACCAACACCAGAAACGCTAATCCTTTCACACATCGTGCGGATTCTCATGATTACGCGTTTTAAGATATCAGGATATATTTTGCATAATAAAACCTGGCTCAAAATTTTTAATTAATGTAATAATGGGGAAAATTTTGACAAAATGTTTTATATAAAATTGCGTTTATTAACACTTATTTGTAACATTGTTTACAGTTTCCAAGCATGCAGACGAGTTTATAAAGTCCACTAAGCCGCGGTATTGCAGAATATACACACTCCACCACTTGGTCTATATGGCTAACGTAGAATATGCAATACTGACCACATACATCTGAGTTTTTACGTCATTAATATATTGCGTTGTTCTTAAGAATGGAGCGACAACATATATATTGATATATTGCGTTGTTCTTAAGAACCGAGCGACAACGTATATTATATTGATATATTGCGTGCATGGTTTCTAAAGAACGGAGCGACAATATATTATATTGATATAGCTATTGCGTGGTTTCTAAAGAACGGGGCAACAATATATTATATTGATATATTGCGTGGTTTCTAAAGAACGGAGCAACAACATATTATATTGATATATTGCGTGTTTTCTTAAGAACGGAGCAACAATATATTATATTGATATATTGCGTGATATATTATATTGATATATTGCGTGGTTCCTTAAGAACGGAGCAACAACATATTATATTGATATATTGCGTTGTTCTTAAGAACGGAGCGACAACATATATTATATTGATATATTGCGTGGTCAGTTCTAAAGAACGGAGCAACAATATATTATATTGATATAGGATTGCGTGGTTTCTAAAGAACGGGGCAACAATATATTATATTGATATATTGCGTGGTTTCTAAAGAACGGAGCAACAATATATTATATTGATATATTGCGTGTTTCCTTAAGAACGAAGCAACAATATATTATATTGATATATTGCGTGATATATTATATTGATATATTGCGTGGTTCCTTAAGAACGGAGCAACAATATATTATATTGATATATTGCGTGGTTCCTTAAGAACGGAGCAACAATATATTATATTGATATATTGCGTCGTTTCTTAAGAACGGAGCAACAATATATTATATTGACAGTATTGCGTGGTTCTTTAAGAACGGAGCAACAATATATTATATTCATATATTGCATATTATATTGATAAATTGCGTGGTTTCTAAAGAACGGAGCAACAATATATTATATTGATATATTGCATATTATATTGATAAATTGCGTGGTTTCTAAAGAACGGAGCAACAATATATTATATTGATATATTGCGTGGTTTCCTATTTTAGGTCGACCTGTAAATCATTCATTTTCACGAACCGTATACGCTTCGTACGGTCCGTAAAGCCATTTCACGGACCGTACGGATTTGTCCGATCG